TGACCATATTATGATATGTGACAACCAATACAGAGACCGGCACCATGACCGTCCCTTATTATCCCGGTATTATCTTCGTGCGACTTAATTTGTATTCCGTGCGTGCAATTGTCTGGACGACAATAGCGACTTGTGTCTTGCTTCGTACCAGGGGAAAGCTGATATAAGTATATTGTTTAATCTCATCAAAGACATGGTCTTAGACCACAATTATCTTAGTCTTTCATCCAATATATGTATAACGGAATTGTGTGGTACGATAATAGTTAAACATCTCTCTGTCTATGGCTCTATAACACTTGGACCTTGGCCGTTTTTTCAGTTTCTTTATCCATACACAGTCGGTAGGAACCCTCGGACGGGGGATCAGCCCATCACAATGCCGCTACCTAAACACAGGACAAGACAAACACAGAACAGATGTACAAAAACATCTGTGCCTCGAGTGGGATTCGAACCCACGATCCCAGGGTTCGAAGAGCGAAGACTGTTCATCACTTAAACCCCGCTGTCACTGTGGTAGGCATAAAATATATACAGACTATTATTATAATGTTTTCAATTTAATTGATTTTGAAAAGTCATTATTAAAACATACAAAACTACAGTTTGTCTTGTGTTATGTTGGTGTGAAGCATGGCCCGCCACCCTGAGGGAAGAATATGACGTATGAAGATTATGATCTTCATCAGTATTACTCTTTGTAGTCTAGTAGATTTTTAGAACACCAATAGAAGAAGCCAAATGCCAAGGAATAACCTCTGACAAAAAACTAAACTGGAGACAACACATAATCAAGAAAAGAAAACAGATGGACCAAAAAACCAAAGAACTCAACTGGCTCATACGAAGAAAATTCTACCTTTCCATTGAAAACAAGTTACTAATTTACAAAACAGTCATCAAGCCTATATTGACATACGGCATAGAACTCTGGGGCTGCGGCAGCAAACCCAGCATTGCCATTATACAGCGTGCCCAGTCCAAAATACTCCGATCCATCACGAACGCACCAGGGTATGTATCCAACCGCACCCTACATACAGATCTAAACACTCCTTACGTAACAGAAGTCATCCGAGAAAACAGCACCAAGTACTTCAACAAACTAGAAAATCACTCCAACCCACTTCAACCACTACTACAATCTCACCAAAATCGAAGACTCAAAGGAATTTGGCCACCAGAGTTAAGGAATTGAGGAAAACACCACTGGATATTTATTCCGCTCAAGCCATGAAGAGTGTACAATAAATAGATATTATATTGTACACCAATCAGCACAATGACTTATAGACTGTAAATCTGATTGTCAGTAAAGGAGAAGAGGAATATATTTAGGAGACACTTCGGTAAACATCTACCAGACTACACAGCATAACATTCTAGAATATAATAATCTTCCAAGTCACAGTCATGTGAACCTATTTCTTTCTTAATTCGCTTAGTGGGGGGTGGAGTCGAACTGGGTCCACTCGGCACGGCGGCCACTAATTGGCCTATTGTAGTCTGTCCCGGGTGCTTATGATGATGGAGAATTTGGTAGAATGAAGATTGGCAGGGGAAACCGAAGTACTCGGAGAAAACCCTCCCCAGCGCCACTTTGTCCACCACAAATCCCACTTGACCAGACATGGGATCAAACCCGGGCCGCCGTAGTGGGAAACCAGCGACTAACCGCTTGAGCTATGCCGGGGTCATGTGAGCTTTAATTCTGACATGCCCTACACTGAGTGCGTTTCAAAGAGGAGCAGGTTTGAATCTATGAGGGAGATAAGTAAGAGGAGACTGGAGAAAAATGCATAATAAGGAGCTTCGTAATTTTCAATCTTTGCCAGATATTAGAGTGTTCAAGTTAAGGAGGTTAATGTGGAAAGAGAATGTAGGATGTAGCATACAGATGACAGATGCATAGCTACTTAGTTTCAGGAGGGAAATATGAAGGAAAGAAATAACTTGGAAGATCTAGGCAAAGGTGGACAAAATAATATTTGAAGAGGTACTAGAGAAAGCGAGTGTGACGACATGGACTGAATTCATCCTGATAGGCATAGGGTCTAATTGCAGGAGGTTATGGACAGGTTCTACACAGCCACATAATTTCATAACGAACTGAGCGACTATCAGTTTCTCAGAAATAACCCTAAATCACGGAGTAAGATAGTTACCCTTGCATGTTCTTACAACGACCTAAATCTAACTACAGCACAAGAATATCTGCGAGAAGATAAATATCTGGTATCATCTTCCTACATGTCACAATTAAATATTTTTATTATATAGTGCTATGGCATGGAAATGAATGTGGAGAAAACAAAAGTAATGAAAATTTCGAGACAACCAACCCCAGTCACAATAAAGATAGACCAAAAACAACTGGAGAAAGTGAAATATTTTAAATATTTGGGTAGCTTGTTAACAGATGATGGAAGGTGTACTTGTGAAATTAAATCCAGGATTGCCATGGCAAAAGCTGCATTTAGCAAGAAGAAGAATCTTTTTACCAGCAAATTGGACTTAAATTTGAGGAAGAAACTAGTGAAATGCTACATTTGGAGCATAGCTCTGTATGGGGCTGAAACATGGACACTTAGGGCAGTAGATCAGAAACATCTGGAAAGTTTCGAAATGTGGTGTTGGAGAAGAATGGAGAAGATCAGTTGGACCGATTATGTGAGAAATGAAGAAGTGTTAATTAGAGTCAGTGAGCAGAGGAATATCCTACATGAAATAAGAAAACGGAAGGCTAATTGGATTGGTCATGTTTTACGCAGAAACTGCCTTCTAAAAGAAGCTATCGAAGGAAAGATAGATGGGCGGATAGAAGTGACAAGAAGACGAGGAAGAAGACGTAAGAAGATGCTGGATGACCTTGGGGACAGAAGAGGATACTGTCATTTGAAGGAGAAAGCTCTAGATCGCATTAAGTGGAGGAATTGTTTTGGAAGAGACTGTGGACCTGTCGTCTTGACAGATTACTGATGATGATAATGATGATGATGATGATGATGATGATGATACACTTATACATAATTTGGGGCATGTGGTAGCGTAGTTGGTTGAGGCACTATGCTACAAGCCGGAAGGTCGAGGGTTCAAATCCCGATGGGGTCATTGGATTACTTTCAATTGACCTAATCTTCCAGCCGCACTATGGCTCTGGGGTCGAATCAGCCTCTAACAGAAATGAGTACCGGGAATATTCTTGGGGGTAAAGGTTGGCTGGCGCGTAGGGCTGACAACCTTACCGCCATCTATGAGCCAATTGTCTAGAAAATGTGGGACCCTCAACATCTCACAGCCTTATGGGCCTCCACGGCCTGTTACAGGGATACTTTTACATTTACTTATACATGATTTTAATTTTGTAAAAGAGTATTATCTTCTGGGATATAACATCGTATAGTCCGTTGAAAGTAAACCGACGTTTCGGAGAGACAAATCTCCTCCATCTTCTGAGTCGAAACAGAAAGAACAGGAAACAAGTATTAGGTAGAACGGATAGTTTGTTGATATTTTCTTGTTTCATTTCACGCTTTCCGTGTTAAGCTCTTGTAATTTTACACTGACTTGCAGTATTTTCTGTGGAAATAAAAAATATTTGCCTTTATGGCCCTGGGGTCGATTCAGCCTCTAATAGAAATGAGTACCAGGAATTAATTAAATAATTTTCCTGGGGATTAAAGCGCGGCCGGCGCGTAAGGCTGACAACCTTACAGCCATCTTTGAGCCGATTGTCTAGATAATGTGGGACCCTCAACGTCTCACAGCCCTACGGGCCTTCACGGCCTGGTACAGGGATAGCTTTACTTTTTTTTTACTTTTTTACTTTAAGTCTAACTCATCTTCTGTTTCAGACGGGTTTTGATTTCCATGTGTTTCCTGTGCTCGTGTGGGTATGTAACGTATTTACCAATGTGCGTGTGTCCAGGACTATGCATGTATCCATCTGGTGTCTCATTGTCTGTTACCTGTGAAATTGTTATCCAAGTTAGTTAACATTCATGCATTCAATATTGATTTAATTTGTGATGTCCATGGGAACAGACCTCTAATATCCCTCGAATTCATAACGATGAATACACGTACAGCGTAACATGGACAGATTTCAGTGTTGCTGAAATCTTGATTATTAGGAACGAACTAAGTACATATGCAGATACATCGACTTGCAAAATGTATATATTGGTTACTTAATAATTCTTCAAGTTCATGTACGATAGGCATCTCATACTTGCGAATCTTGTATATTTCCTCTTCAGTGCGAGGTATGACACTTCAATGGATGTCACAAATCTTCAGTTAGTTCTTGGCAAGAAAACAAATATAGAACACAAAGCCAATAAAATAGAATGATCAAGTCAAGGAGGATGAGGTTAGCAGGGCATATAGCACGAATGGGGGAGAAAAGGAATGCATATAGTATATTGGTGGGAAAGCCAAAATGAAGGAGACCACTGTGAAGACCAAGGCGTAGTGGGTGGACAATATTAAAATGGATTTAAGAGAGACAGGATGGGATGGTATGGATTGAAATGATCAGGCTCAGGATAGGGATCAGAGGAGGACTCTTATGAACACGGTAATGAACCTTCGGGTTCCATAAAATGCTGGGAAATTCTTTTGTAGCTGCAGATTTGGCTTCTCTTCAAGAAGGGCTCAGCTCCATGAGTAGGTAGGTGAGCCAGTAAAACACAGCAACCATAACACAATTTTAATCTCAACGACGATTTTCCATATGAGAACTGAATCGTACACCCACGTGATCCAAGATCCGTCAAGACACCAGAGCTACCAGTTGTTACATACACACGTCAGTCTGTTTATTCAGTGTTCAGGTCTCATATTACAGGCTGCCTGTAACAAATCTAATTTATCTTTGCAGCATGCTAAGCCTCGGGAGGGCCAGTTCGCCTGTACTAGCATCACTAAGTTTTCGTTAATGTCTTTCATGTGATTAATGAGATCAGCGTAATTACGTTTAACTTACCCTGCTCCAGATGGCGACTCGTCTTCTGCTACTTTTCACGTTCCTGCGCTTGGGGACAACACTTCCGGACTTGGAAGACAACATGGTGCCCACTGACGAGCAGATACTTAATGCGCTTCTTCAGCAGGTAAGTTAAGTAACTTCTTTAACTTAAGATAGCGATGATACGATTCGGGTTTTCTGCACCTACCTGTAAGTAGAATGAAATGAAGGCGCTTAGTAAATTTAAGAGGTAAAGAGGTGGTTAGCTTCATGTTCAAGCTGACTTCATTCCCAGGGAAATATACCCCAATCATAAGTAGGTAAAACTTTATGCAAAATAAACATCAGCACAAAACGACAGCGAGTGGTTAGTTTCACGTTCAAGCTGACTTCATTCCCAGGGAAATATACCCCAATCATAAGTAGGAATCTATGTGTGTTCCAAGGCAGCGTGGAAAACATAATAAAAACTTGAAGAAAGCAGTCTTCTGGGATTTGGCACCGTGTATAAGTGGTGTTAACCGACGTTTCGGAGGAACGTATCGCCTCCATCTTCAGGGTAGAAGAAAAAGCAGACTGCTTTTACAGGTTCTCACGGTCTCTTCGCTTGCAGAATTCTTATATTTTTCTTCTGCATTGAAGATGGAGGCGATACGTTCCTCCGAAACGTCGGTTAACACCACTTATACACGGTGCCAATTCCCAGAAGACTGCTTTCTTCATAGTCACCGCCGTGAAAGCCTCAAATCTTACATAATAAAAACTTAACTATATTTCATTTTCTGCAAGAATCTCAATAGATAACACATTTGATCCTTTAATGCTATGATTTAAGTTGGGTCAGTTTCCTATCCTAGCTAATTTTTATTTGAAATAACTTTATTAACTGTCCTTGTTGTTTGCATCCTGCTGTGTATTATACGTATATAATATTATTGTACAATCGTCAGCTCATCAAATTCGCCATAAATAACAGATATTATTGTATTATCATTCGTTTTATTATCCATATTTGCTACATGTTTCGATCCAGCTAGAACATCATCAGTCAATTTTTCATGATATATAATATTCATTATTGAATTGTATTTCTAGTGGATGCATGTTAGTATTCATTAACATGCATTCCATTACAATACTTGTGTTTCGTTATATTTTGGATATTTGTCTTAAAAGTCATGCATTGGTTATGGAGACTGGTTGTAGAGGAGGCCAAGGCTCACCCAGGGCTGTAGCGCCGAGTGGGAGGTAGATAGGTAGGTAGGTAGGTCTTAAGATGTAAAACGTTGTAAATCGGTTGAACTTTAAAACTTAAATTTACAATTATAATTAAAAAAAAAATTAAAATCAGTTTATATTATTTAGCGTAGAGTAAAAGTCTATGTTGTTGTATCGTACATGTTTAATTCCTAGAAAAATGAAAAATTTCGAAAAATTATCAATAACTAGAAACTGGTTAAGTTTAGGAATTGTAATAAGCAGGTAAGTTCTGTAATTAAAATGTTAAAATTAATCATGTCCCAAAACAATGCGTCACGGAGAAACGTGTGATTGGTTGTAGAGCCTCTTGCATTGCGAACCTCGACTTAGATAGCGGTGAGTGAATACGTTCACTCTACAATCACTTTACCTCTACTGAAGAAACTATCAGTATTAATAAAACCGGAAGCTGGGTGAGCCCCAGATCCAGTCCGTCTTGCTTATTCTGGACCATTAATGGTCAATTGAACGTTTAAAAATTGGGTAAAATTTATCCCTCTAACATGCCATGGAGGCCCATAGGGTTGTGGGACGTCAAGGCTCCCACATTTTCTAGACAATCGACTCACAGATGGCGGTAAGATTGTCAGGCTTGCGCACCGGCCGCCCTTTACTCCCCAGGATTATTCTTGGTACTCATTTCTGTTAGAGGCTGAGTCGACTCCAGAGCCATAGTGCGGCTGGAAGGATTAGATAAATTGAAAATAATCCACCTCATGAGGACTCGAAACCGCGACTTTATGGCTTGTAGTATAGTACCTCAACCAACTACGCTACCGCGGGGTCCCCAATCATTGGGCATTGGTCAGAAAAATGCGTTACTGGGATCGCTATGCCAAAGGAATTATTTTGTATATAAAGGAATGAGATTCTTTAGAAATATCTAAACTTCTGGCTTAATCTGTATTTATTAACGGTTTATTTAAGAATTCTGTCAATATCTTTGACTGCACTATATCTAAAGGTAAGTTGTTATTGAATAGTGAATTAACAAGAATAGTGAAGGAATGAGTTGTGACCTAATTACAGGCACTATCCCGAAATTTTCTTTGAGGGGCTGAAGAAAACCACTAAACGTTTGGTCAGGATTGTCGTGTATGGCTGAGATTCTAATCGGACAGCTCAAAAAATGAACCAGAATTACTGCTTGAGCCAACTTGGTCGGAAAATTTTCTGTCTCTCCAAATAAATAAACATAACTGACGTGAAACACGGAACTCATCTGGTCACTCATTTGAGGTACACGGATTTAGTGTGGGTGGAGCACGCGCACTGACGGTCACTCAGCTGTGCTGGCGAACACCAAATTCTATTAAGCCCAGGCACGTCAACCATCCACACACGAATTATCGACTCCAGCAAGCAACATCACATTCGACTATGGTACAGACTACAGCAGTTAACTCAGCAGTGTCCAGAAATGAGCCAGATAAGGGCACACGGTTCCTGTCATGCGTCGAGAGTTGTTAGTTTCTCTGGGACAAGGTGTCGGTTTCCTAGGAGCTGATAATAGGGATGCTAATCGGTGTGGATGCCTGTATCGATATCCAATGATTAAATAAATACTTAATCCTTTTATGTCGTACTTACTTATTTATTTTTATATTATCTTTGTTTACTTACCGATTTCAATTGCTAAGACCATATCTCATCGAATAATATTAGTACATAATGTTTAGGAAATTATGTGGAATGGGAGACGGCCTCTGTGGTCAAGTGGTCCTGGCTACAGATTCAGAGGTCCCGGGTTTGATTCTCGGTGCTACCAGATTTTCTTAGACGTAGTTGGTCTGGAACGGGGTCCACTCAGCCTCGTGAGGATAATTAAGGAGATACTTGAATGGAAAAGTAGCGGCTCCGGTCTAGTAAACGGAAATTAACGGTCGTGGGGATTCGCTGACCACGCGACACCCTCTATCCACTAACTGGCAGTAACTTCGCCGACAAGCGGCGGTCGCTCAGTCGGTATAGTTCGCTTGCGGACTAAAGCCACGGAGTCTTTTTTTTTTGTATGTGGAATGGGAAGTTAGTGGCCCAATTTAAAGCAATATTCTGCCATTTTCCTAATGGGGGAGTGGACTGAGAAAACCGCAAAAAAAATTCAGGATAGTCCGTCTCTGGGTCAAGATCTGGATGTATAACGCTCCCAATACAACAGAATTTGTTAAACACGTGACCACGATACTCAGTGGATTGATTTATCAATGTGTGGCTCAAGCGCTTAATTAAATCTGTCTTAAATGCTGTACGCTGTCTTAACTTCCACTGCGAATCTGACGAGGTTATCCACAATTTTATTCCTGCCTAATAAACAAACACAGCTCATCTCACAATGTTTTGCAATTGAAGGAATTCAGTAATAACAATTCATTCATTCATCCTTTCCTCAGTGTATTCGCTCTTTCTTTTATGCGTTCACTCCTTTATCAGTTCATTATTTCTTTAAATGACTCTCTCGTCTGTTAGCGTATTTATTCATCGGTCTGATCGTTAGATGGTTTATTCTTTCAATCATAAACTGGATTCCTCTGTAAAAATCAAATGTCTTATCCTGCTATAGTAGTGTACCACAATATTATATCACAATTAGCATACACTAGCGTCATCTGCTTGGCATACTTGTAAAAACAACTGACTCTCAATACAAGACTTAATGTCTAATTTTGATATTAAGCACAACGCTAAAACTTTAAAATATCTTGCATAAATATTACTATTATTTGAGTCGTAAACTACTGATCCTCTTAGAAAATTTAAAGCATCAAATAATAGTGTTGATCTCATATCTTTATATATGAAGAAAGAAGACTGCATAATTAGATAGAAAATCTCGTATTGGCCAGTTATTTTAATCGTAATATGGAAAAGCTCTAATATAATTTTTATAAGTTTTTGATAAACGTTTCTGTTTGCTTAATTTTCTACATGTCTTATTCTTAGGAGAAAACTCATCCATTGGAGCAGGGTCAGCCAGAAGTAGAAGATTCGCTAGGGCTACCTTCGGACGAAGAGAGCTACAACGAACTGAAGGCACAGTTCGCTTTGGGACTTCCCTTCATCGGTGGCACCCGCTTTTACATCTCTGATTCATTCCCCGGTAAGATCACACGTTATACTGTTATATGGAATACTATAACGGAATTACATTGCCATTTGTCAGACCCAAAGATTGTTTGTGCTCAGAGATTTGAATTTATGATATCCAATAATTATCTGAAGCAGCCCTTCAGAACAAGAGAGATGAAGTCACAGGAAGTTGGAGAAAACTGCATAATGAGGAGCTTCATGACTTGTACTCTTCTCCAAGTATAATTAGATTGATCAAGTCAAGGAGGATGAGGTGGGCAGGTCATGTAGCACGAATGGGGGAGACGAGAAATGCGTATAGGATATTGGTTGGAAAGCTAGAAGGAAAGAGACCACAGGGAAGACCAAGGCGTAGGTGGGTGGACAATATTAGAATGGATCTTAGAGCTAGGATGGGATGGTAGGATTGGATAGATCTGGCTCAGGATATGGACCAGTGGAGGGCTCTTGTGAACACGGTGATGAACCTTCGGGTTCCATAAAATGCTGGGAAATTCTTGAGTAGCTGCAGAATTGGCGGCTCCTCCAGAAGGGCTCAGCTCCATGAGTAAGTAAGTAAGCACTTCAGAACCAGGATTCTGGACAATCTGTCGGAGGCGTCTAAAATTCTTGGCCGAGGATGAAACAGGAATACTGCAGTATTATTTTTGTATCCTCTGCATGTATCATGCTAATTTCCTTCTGCAGAATCAGCATCTTGAAAAGCTACATACAATATCAACTAAAATGAATTCTAATTTCTCGCTCTACGTAAGAATGTTCTTCCATTATTTAGAAGTTTTTTATTTCTAAACTTCAACTGCTTCTCAATGGCAACAATACATCGTCAGGGTGTGATTTTCACATATATTGCTATCAGTGCTATATTAAGACAGAATTAACACCTTATTTGCTACAAGCCGGAAGGTCGCGGGTTCAAGTCCCGATGAGGTAATTGGATTTTCTTTTCAGTTGACCTAATCCTTCGAGCCGCACTGGGCCTTGGGGTTTACTCAGCCTCTAACAGAAATGAGTACCAGGAATTAATTAAATACTTTTCCTGGGGAGTAAAACGCGGCCGGCGCGTAAGGCTGACAACCTTACCGCCATCTTTGAGCCGATTGTCTAGATAATGTGGGACCCTCAACGTCTCACAACCCTATGGGCCTTCACGTCCTGTTACAGGGATACCTTACTTTTACTTTTACTTTTTACTATAGAAATAAAACATGGTTTGAAGAGTGGAACAGAATTCTGCCCGAGAAAAGGATAGCTACTCAACTTGTCATGAAATTTCCTCATCTATGGAACCTGAAGGCCATTACAATATTCATAGAAGCCCGCCACTGGTACTACGCTGAGCCAGTTTAATCCAGTACACAAAATAACAAATTAAATTCAGAAAATCGGAAAGAAAATGAAATTTCTGAGGACTACGTTTTGTAAGCCATATCTTAGAAACCGTAAACGTCTACAGATATCAGATACTTAAGCTAAAGAGTTAAATAGGCAATTTAAAAGTAGCCTATCAAACAATACATGACAAATTATTTAAAACTTTGGAGATAATAACAGAAGCTAAACACTGTCGACTTGAAGCATATTATTGATTAATTGACTTTTTGCTGTGAAACGTGTAACTGATCTTGCATAAGATGGTAATGACTGTGAAGGAGATGATCTTGGTCTAGTCCTGTCTCGTTATTCGCGAGATCTCATTCAAAATATACGTTAAACGAGGCTAGAATTAAACCGAATATCTGATGAATACTAGTTGGAAGTTATGTGGCTATGTTCAATAGTAAATTATATCATAATACAGGAAACCATAACCAAAATAAGTATACAAAATACTGCGGCGTATTTGCTCAAAGCAAGGACTGTGGAGACAGAAAGACAGCCATTGCTAGGTAATGCCCTTAGGCAGCAATAGAGGAGGCGTCACGGTATGAGATGTGACCCGTACAGTCGTTGTTATGGAACAACTGAGTAAGAGCATTTCCGGCAAACGAATATATGAAACAATAGAAAAAGCTGTTTTCTGTGCGGTTCGAGCCGAGGGTTTATAAAAGGATATAGTTCCAATGGAGTAGTTAGTCGAGAGTTGGGAAGATGGACTTGAGAGTTCAGGTGCAGAGAGTTAACCAGCGGAAAACAGCGTACCTACGGACGCTCAGCATCTGTGTTAAATCTGTTGCCAGGAGCCGGCTAGTCAGGCTGTAACAAACTGAAGACACTAGTCTGTGTGTGTCAGTGAACTGTAAAGAGCGGAGATTAGCGGTAGCGCTCTATTACTTCTACTTCTGATTTGTGTGTATGAGGTGTCAAAAAGTCAAATCATCCAATACAAAACCCGTCTATAAGTAACGTACATCCTCTACACATGACAATATAAACTGTGTTTAAATATATATCAAAACAAGGTACGCCTATGACACGTCAAGGTGGTTAAGTTAGAATGATGTTTTCATAAATTTCAAAATTCCTTCCTTTTGTTTTATGTTGCTTTTAATCTTTGTAAAATTACATTCAAATTGCATATTTTAATGGGTTTCTTCTGTAGCTAAAGGTCAGGGAAATCTAACAGGATTTCTTCGCCAGTCAAAACTCGACTCTTTTTTATGTGTGTAAAAATATCAAAATTCCATTCAACTTTTTCTCAAACATGAGTTGCATTTCTGTTTCTGTCTTTTACTTTAGCACACTCCTTCATTCTCTTGTCCTATAATTGTATTTTGTGTATGTAGTTTAAGACAATTTTGTTTCCTCTCCTTCTTACCTTCCCACCCCCCAGGTTTAATTACATGGGGACCTTCTCCTATCATCTCACTGATGTCCATTAAACAAATTCGCTTATGTACCGTGCTTGTAGGTATGACGGAGCAAAAGAGTGCCGTTCCAACTTTGTGACAGGTAGCTCGCCGTAGTTATTCCATAATAGCCTTACTTACTCATGGAGCTGAGCCCTTCTTGAGAAGCCGCCAATTCTGCAGCTACTCAGGAATTTCCCAACATTTTATGGAACCCGAAGGTTCATTACCGTGTTCACAAGAGCTCTCCACCAGTCCCTATCCTGAGCCAGATACATCCAATCCATACCATCCAATCCCATCTCTCCAACATCCATTTTAATATTGTCCACCCACCTACGCCTTGGTCTTCCCTGTGGTCTCTTTCCTTCTGGCTTTCCCACCAATATCCTATACGCATTCCTCGTCTCCCCCATTCGCGCTACATGACCTGTCAATCTCATGTTCCATAATAACCTAGCGGACAGAATAATGATCTGTGGAAAACGGACATATCGCTCATACATCGAAGCTTGAAACCAAGAATTCATGGGCTGTAGTTTGGGGAAAGCGATAACCGTTTCATCTAGTCACATTGCTACCCATACTTACTTACTTACTAACCGAGCTGAGTCCTTCTTGAGGAGCCGCCAGTTCTGCAGATACTCAAGAATTTCCCAGCATTTTATGGAACCCAAAGGTTCATTTCCCTGTTCACAAGAGCCCTCCTCTGGTCCTTATCCTGAGCCAGATCAATCCAATCCATATCATCTCTCTAAGATCCATTTTAATATTGTCCACCCACCTACGCCTTACATTGCTACCTATAGGCTCTTTAATCTAGGACATAAAATTTGTTTCAGAAAGAAGCTCTTATAATTTAGGTTTCTTTCTCTAAGCCACCAACATAAAATGTATCGGGCCCACATAACTGCCTATTCACAATATACTAGAGGGCTTCACCCTAGGGGACAGAGCAGCCGGAACGTAAATCTGGCTCTTTCATCTAGTGCAGAGGTTACGAATGCTTATAGTCAAACGTCACTCTTCTACAATACTCATGACGTAGTGGTTAGAATCTTCCCGGGTTATTTGACAACAGATCTTTTATTTTTCAATTGGATACGTTACGCAAAATCGAACAGTGCCGTGACTGTGAATTGCGTGTCGCAAAACGTGACAGTGGCCTAACTTCAGGCATTCAACCGAATCAATTTGAGACGCCGAAGACAACAATTTAAACAAATCAATCATAACAGCTAGGTTCAGATATAAATTCCTACTTCGGGTTCCTGAAACCAACAAAAAGTGTTAATGTCTGGCAAAATTCATAGGCCTGAACTAATATATTACTTCTGCTAAACAATTAATGTAGTATAAGACGGAAGGTAATTGGATTTTTCAGTTTACCTAATTCTTCCAGCCGCACTATGGCCCTGGGGTCGACTCAGCCTCTAACAGAAATGAGTATCATGAATCTTTGCGGGGTTATAGGGTGGCCGGCGAGTAAGGCTGACAACCTCACCGCCATCTGTGAGCCTAGTGTCTATATAATGTGGGAGCCTCGGCTTCCACGACCCGTTAGAAGGATAGCTTTAACTTTGTTACATACAAGTACAATTGGGAATTAGTGGTGAAGTGGAGAATAATATTAAGACAGATCTTAAATACACAGGACGTGAGGTTGTAGGTTGGATTCAACTGGCTGAAGGTAAGGCCCAATGACAAAGCTCTTATTAACAGGGAAAGAAATCTTCTGGTGTCATAAAATGACTATCAGCTTCTCAACAAGAACCACACATTTATCTTTTAGGGCTATTTTCTTATAATACCTGAATTTCCTTAAATGCCATTAGACACACGAACATGGCGATATAAGTATATTCTTCTTCAAGTAAATTAAGCTGACTCTGAAGCATATAATAGTTCTTTCTGTAGGTCTGCTAACCTATCACGTCTCTAGTGTAGATAAAATTATTATAAAGAATAAAAGGTAAAATGTAAAGTTGTCTCTGTACTTAACTAATTAATCATTACGCAATGAAGGCACATGAGGGAGTGAATGTATAGAGCCACATTTTCTTGACCTTGGATCTACGTGGAGGTAATTGGTCAGCGTCACGCCCCGGCCGCTTTACCCACGGGGAAGGAGCCCCCGGTATCCATTTGATAAAGAATGTGTGGGGCCCATAGCCAGTCAGAACGAGGTGGAAAGGAGAAAATTCTTGACCCAAATGGGACT